ACGTAACTTAAATAAACTAATACATTTCATAAGCATACAAATTACACCATTTTTAATAATGCTTATTATAAAAAGATCCTACACATCATTGGTTAATGCAAACAAAATATCTTCACATTATTACAACAGTCAAGATATTTTACATACATTTGTGCTTTTAAAACTATTGCTAGCTTCTTCTGGGAAAAGCTGAAGTAACTGTACATTGTGGACAAAAAGACGTTTTGGATACAAATACACATGTCAACACCAGAAGAGGCACAACAACATTGAACAATTATCTTTCCATTTCCCTGAAACAAAAAAACCTATTCAATGAAATACATTTCTATGGTAATTGCTAATTTAATGTTCTGACAAGTGCAGAAGAGGGCTACTTTTTCTTGGTCACTAATGACAGCAAACACCAGATGTCTAGGAATATATATATATTTACATCATATATATTTAAGAGAATATCTGAAGAAAATGGGACCGTTTTCACATACATATTCAAAGTGTCTCAGAAATTCTGGTGGGGTCCACATTAGTGGGCCTTAAGTGTCGCCAGTGTTCTGTGTAAAGAAACAGAGAAGAGCAGACCGTTGCTAATGGAGTCCCTCCACATACGTTAGTAGATAATCTAATGGAAGCCATGTGATGCATTCATTAGAGAAATGCCTGTCATTCAACCAAATTCCCTGCTGGGTGGGCATACATATAAATAACTTTTTCAGGGAATTCAACATTCTGTTACACTGCCTACAGGTTAATGACCTTTTCTCTGTGGAGGTAACATGCAGAGAAAAAGAAATGTTCCATGTGGAGAAAAGATATCGTTTCAAGTGGATTAATGAATAATTAATCGGGTTGAGGTAAACGTTATTTTTCCCTGCTCTAATTGAAGAAAAGACAAAATATATATTTATTAGCCAAATGGGGGATCCAGTCTGTTAACCAGCTCTCACACGTGGTCCCTCAGATTGGTCATATAGATTATATTATAGCTCTGACTCCTCCCAGATAGAGTGGTACTTGTGCATAATCAACTGGGGAAGACCCTCATCTAGAGGGGACCAAATGGGTGTTATAACTGAAATGATGCCCATTCCTATGAAGGCATCACATACTGTGGGACCCGTGGGGAATCAGAAATAGGACAACTCACAGTTAGTGTTTTCTCTTTGATGAGCTCTCTTAGGTTTCTGTGTTTGTGTTCTCCATGCCACGCCGAAGGCTATTTGCATTATAATGTCAATCCTTGGTTGGTGAGAGTTCTTTTAAAATATTCCCACTGCAGTTTTGTAGATAATTGAGGTTGCAAATATGGAGTGTATAATATCAAGCCAATAATCATAGTTTTGAGTTAAGATTGGAATGAGCGGAGTGGAGCATTCTGATTTGGAGTCTGCTGATGCTTCCGTACTTCCCTTCCACTCCCATGGCTTTTCCATCTGTTGGATGGGTGTGTGATAACACTTATCTCATATGCCCTTTGAATTGACAGAATGAAGCCTGTTGGACGCATTTTTCTTTGGAAAAGGATTACAAGTATGGCATTTGAAATCCAAGTTTATATCTAGGGGATGTGATAATTACTTGTCATTATGTAATTTCTAATGAAAGCATTGTTTAAAGCAGCAGATTGCAGAACAGAAAAAATTGGATGCAGTTGCAGATGATGAGGCTGAAAAATAATTTAGAGTGAATTTATGCAGGGTCTGAATGTTCTCCTAAGGAGTTTGCATTTTATTCTCTTGGACACATTATTTTCTGAAATGTGTGACAGAGAATGCTTGTGCTAGAGGATGTTAATATGTCTGGGGCAGCTCAGTTAAATGAAGTCCAAGTTTACTTTAGGGGAGGCCTTAAATATGCTAATACGCCTGTGGGTCTCTAAGAGGGGTTTTGTATATTGCTTTTCTCAAACTAAACAATAAAACTTGGTAGCAGATACACAAGAATATGAAAAATGTTCCAGCTTGGCACTTTCAGGTCAGTTAATCCTAATATTCCATGTATACTCAACACACCTTATATTCATTACCTCATATCATATGTATCTGGCACATAGCAGGGTGGAGTAAACAAACGAAATGAATAAAGTCTCTGAATAGCCCTCAGTTTTCTCACCTGTAAAATGGGAAAACAGTAATACAATATTTAAAGAGTTGAAGAGTTGGAGAAAAGTGATCACAAAGTATTTTGTGACCAAGGCCCATTTTTTAGTTAAAATCAAATTGAAACAGACTTACATATGAAAAAAAATAAATACAAAAGATGGAGAAAAATACGTAAGGGATTACTATCCAATTATTGTCTAACTGTGGGATCTTTGCTTAACCTTGCTAAAGTTCATTTGTAAAGGGGATGATCACATTTACCTTGAAAGGCTCTTTTAATCTGCCTAGCATCATTACTGGGTGGGGTGTATATGGTGCTGTGGTTGAGAGCACAGGCTGGGAACCAGCCTGCCTGGGTTTGAATCTCAGCTTTGCCCTTCTCTACATGTTTGATGCTTACTATGTATGTGACATTGGGCAATTTAATTAATTTCTTTCTGCCTCAGTTTTCCTCATCTGCAAAATGGGAAAAATAAGTATACTTATCTCAGAGGGCTGTGGTGAGGAATACAGATAAAATAATAAATGTTAGATATTAAGAAAAGTTAGCTGCTCTTATTATTTCCAATTTCCTACATAATAGGAGAGAAAAGCTGAAGACTGCCCTAATTTTTTCTTCCTAGACTGCAGCTGCTTGGCCAGTGGTTGGACCCATTTCCCCCTCCCTTCCAGACTGAGTGCTCACGGCTCATTTTTAAGGAATACTCTCCCCCACCAAGTTCAGCAACTACTGGGTCAGACCCTCTGTCCTCCAAACCAATTTACTTTAAAAAAAAAAATCCACCAGTGCTTATCCTTTTTGTGGCCATTAATATACAATTACATTAGTGTTCCCAGCTGATTTATATTTGGATTATTTTCTCTCTGGATTACCTCCCACTTTTGCCCATTCAATTGATGCTCAGTTAAAATACAGAGGAATTTGTGATGCCTAGAATTTGGAAGGACATAGAAAGGTAAACTAGAAACAAGAATTACACAGCATCCTGCATGGGGACGTGCGATGATAAGGGAGGACCAAACCAATACGATACTCCAAGATATCTGTTAGATGGGTTGCTAGTTACTGTGACATGCTGGTGTCATTTCATCACTATAGTGACAATTTTAAGAATAATAATTTAAACAGGCCACTCACATGGTTCCCACTGTAATGTTATTTTGATTGCATCCTTTGTCCATGTTAAGGCACTTGCCCCCAAATCATCTGACTGTTTATATGGAATTCCTCAAATAGGCCAGTGAGGCTTCAATGAGCCAGCAAAGGATTTTAAAGACCTTCCAACAATCCCCCACATGCCCCCCTCTACTTCAGATAGTGGGCTCTGCCGTGATGCCAACAAGTAAAGGAGAAGGAACAGGAAGAGCACTGTTTGATCCGGTATTAATAATGGAGGCTACGTTTTCAGATTACTCCCAATAGATCAATAAAATCTATAATAGAGCAAGTAAAGGCAGACCACTCACAGATAACCTGCGTACATTTAAATTCACTTATGACTTGTATTTCCTTTTGAGGACAATCCTAAAGATGAATAAGATTTTTAAATGATCAAGATATTTACATTAGTTTTGGCTCTTCAATGGCTTACATATATTAATATATTATATAGGATATATATAATATGTAATATATATTATATATATAGACAAAAGCAAAAGTTAGATTTAAGAGTGATTTTCACATGAATATACCACAGAAAGATTATCAACCATGGAGTTAAATATTTGCATACAAAATAACGTCTGGATGCATAGAATTCTTGTGCTCAGCAGAGGAAGAGCAAAAGATTGCTATTATTAGTGGCTTTTTATTTATAGCTCTATCAAAATTATGTGAAAATATTTCTCTCTCAAGAACCATTCTAGAGAATCATTTTAGACAAAGTGAGGTGTGTGTGTGTCTGTGTGTGTGTGTCTGTGTGTATGTATGTCAGAGGGTGCTCATACAGGTTAGCTCAAAGCTTTTCTGGCGCAGTCTAAACTGAGTTCCATGTAGGGGGTCGGCCACCGCCAGGGAGATGACTTCAAATAGATTTATAGCAGCAAGGCTGGGATTAGGTATACACGTGATAATAGGCTTCAAGGAGAGGAAAAATCCACTCATAATAAAAGGCCATCATCAAGCCTTAATTGTAAGAACTTCTCCGACTCTGACAATCTTTTCTTTCCACTAAGAAAACCACTTATACTCACGGTTTAATGTCCTAATTTAAGAAATGGAAGACACTAAATTAATTTTTAATTTCTATTCCACTGCTATGTCTGTGTTCATTGTCCCTCTAATGCGAACTCTGCACTCAGCAATACAGACATAAGTCTCATTGCCACCAGATAACCTCATCAACCAAAAAGGTGATGTGCAATCTTATTTTGAAGCCAAAAGAGAGTTAAAAACATCAGTAATTTTCAGATAAACATTAAAAATAATCCTTTAAGTTTCTTTGAAAATAGCATCATTTTAAGTTGGAGCACAATCACTGAAGGGAAAAAGAATCCCAAAACAAAAGAAATCTTTTCTTATTTTAGTGGAAAATAAAACAAGAATTGGATTTTCTTCCAAGATTACAATGGTCCATGAAGTAAAAAGGCTTTTGTCAAATGTCCATTCTCTGCTCATTAAGGAACTCTCTGAGGCCGTGTTCCTGGGTCAGCTCATTTTTGCTTCTCTTAGCTCTCTAGTCCTGTCCTAATTACATCTATGTTTCAGGATCCAAGACATGAATTCAAACAGACTCATGGTTAAATGTAAAAAGATGCGGTGACCACATAACACCCAATTTATTCATTTGTCTATCAAGTGGCAGAAATTCAACCTTTAATGAATAGAACTTGATACTGTAAATCCCTAATATAACTAATAACATGTGGTCACTTTCAATAAGCTAAATGCCTGGATATTATTTTTAAAAATCCAACAACAGATCCTTTACCGAGGCCAAATATCTTGCACCTTAACAATCTTTGTCCTCAGAACCAAAATAAAACAATGCTTCAGCCAGATTCTCATTTCCTAAATATCCTTCAATTCATAAGAAAAGCAACATTCTAGATGAAAACTCCTCATTAGTCAATCTTGGTCTTATCGTAACTGGATATTGCTGCTTCTAACAAGGTTGGAAGAATTCTACCTGGGTATTTGCAATAACTTCTAGAACCCACATACTCCACTCTCTACTTGCTAACAGTGCCTCTAAAAACCTTCTGAGCAACATTGAAAACCTTGTTATTTACTTATCTTGAAGCAAGTCTGCTTATCATTTAGAGAAGTCCTTGTCTCTCTCCACTGTCTCTGATTTTTCTGAAGATTTTAAGTAGCAGCAAGGCCTTGGCAACAAAATAAAAATATGGTTCAGTTTACATCTGTGCAACGGAACAGGCTTACCTGTTATCTTGCACACAGATCTAAATTATAACCCAAGAAGCAGAAATTACTCCCTTACTGTATATATAAAAATGCTGTTTTTAGAAGGAATACTTAAAAAGCAGAATTTTTTAAATCAATGTATAATGCTGAAAAACAATCTACAGATAGTCTTATAATAATTTTCACCTTTCAGGGGAAAACAATCCAAATCGTATTGAAGTTCATTTTATATTGCTTCTTCAGATCTCCTATATTAATATTTAAGCACAAATACCGTTTGTCAATTGCTTTAGATGCCACGGTCTGTGCTTATCCAAAGATTAAAAAGGTGACCAATTCATAGTCTCTACAGACCAAAGCATAAATGGATTAAAAAATAATAAAAATGGATGTAAATTCAGGTAACCATACCAAACCCAGTGACAAGAATGTGGTTCACCTTTTGGAGGAGTTGTCTAAAATGATCCAATCAATCACAATTTTCCTTTTTCTCTGCAATGACACACCAGTTGCCATGGTCATTCCCAGAGCTCAGAACACGGAGCTCTGACACATTCTCCGTCAGCAGGCCGTAGAGCTCGCCTTCTCGAAACACGTGGTAGTATCGCATCAAGGCTCTGGAATCCAAAACGTTGGGCTGTTGTTCTTCGACAGAAATTATGTCATCTGGGTTGGAATCTGTAGAATCGACTGCAGAAATCCTTCTCGATATTTTACTAGCAGAAGGGCTGCCGCCTTCTAAGTTACCTGTGTCCACACAATTCTCCTTCGTATTGGTGCTCCCCAGAAAATTCCCATCTCCATTTCTCCTCATTTCTCCTTGATGGTCTCCATTTAGATGTTTCATTGTGGCTGGTGCTCCCAGCCACTCCAAATGTTTCTGAGAAGTTTCCACAAACACGTCCTCATCTAAATTTTGCTCTTTTGTTGAAAACGGCTCCTGGTGATCTAAGTCTAAACTAGGGCGTCTGGAAGGCTGGACTGATACAGTGCTGTTGGCCCACCCTTCTGTGTTTTTCAAGGGCCTCACTCTTTCAATTTGCTTCCTCAGAGTTGATTCATCCAAAGATCTGGAGGAAAACCAGGAACGAAAAGATTTTCCTAATGTGTTATAGAATCCATTTTCTTCCTCTCCTTCCTCGGAAACATTTGCACAACAGGTTCCAGCCATCACTGGTTCATAGTCCATGCTGTGGGACCGTCTTGAAGCACATCGCTCTTTAAAACAACCAGAACAGCTACACACAGAGCAAGGAGGCTGGTAGGGATGGCTTCTTTCTGGATGTCCGCACTGCTTCTTTCTCCCAGGCTGGCTGGATGCTGAGCAGAGCTGGGAGCATAAAGCCCTGTTCCATGGCACAAGCACATCTTGCTTCTCAAAGCGCCTGTTCTTTTGTTCCATAGCCCAGACATAAATCATCAGCTGGCCTCCAGGAACTAACACCCTGGCCATTTCTTTTATTGCTCTGATCCTTCTTTGTTTTGTAGAAAAATGATGTATGACTGGAAAAGAAGAAACTAGATCTCAATGTGTATACACATACATAAACCTACATATTTATACACTAGTATTTTCCATATAACAATGATGCCATTTTGACATGTTTTTTTTTTGTTTTTACCTTATGTTTTTTACCTTATTTCCTACAGGGTAGGGCAGATGGTAGAAACAGCACCAGACCTGGCGTTAGGAGAGACATAATTTTTAGCTTCGGCTCCCATACGTATTGGACAACTGATCTTGGGCAATTACCTAATTTCTATAGATTTTACGTTTCTTTATCCGCAATAAGATGCCTAGAATAAATAATCTGTAAGGTCTCTTCCAGTTCCAAAATCCTGTGAATTTTATTAATCAGAAGGACGAGCAGTGTAAATTAATAAAATTTGCAAGGGAGCACTTAGTTGGGTAAATGTTCCCTAATAGAATTCTATGAAATAATTCATTGTTTTAATGAATGATTGGAACTTCTCAAGCACTGAAAGATTAACACCTCTAATCAGTGTAAATACAAACCTACTATTTGCTTTAGCAAATACAAGTGGAGAAGAATGTTAAAGATTGTTTTTCTGTTAAGATAATGGAAAGATAACCCAGCCAAGCACAAGTCCAAATGATTGCTCAGAATTTTTAAAAATATTAGTATAATATAAAATAGTGGTGTATATTTTTTTAAAAAATCAATTTAGAGGTCATCATCTTACTTCCAACCCTGCAAAGGTAAAGTGAGAATCAAGCAGCACTGCCTTTATCTGGTCTTAAGTGTGTTATTAGGCATAGTTTTATGAAACCAGATGTAGAAAGTGCTAGTCTGTTAGCTCCTAGGGGAGTTTAATCACAGTACTGTTGCAAGAGAAAATTATCAGATTATTTTTCCACCCTCAGGCCTACCAAGTGGAAGTAGGTAGGAAGTTAGTCCCAGGGGACATCTGGATTACTGCTCGGATATGGGTAGTGAGGGGAGAGACAGAGGGTTACAGTTCCTGTAACCCTCACCATAATCCAGCTGTTAGTGGTGGTTTTAAGCAAATAAATCTCTGTAGTTTACCTGCCCCAGAGAGACAGTAAATGTCTAAAAGGAGATTATTACATATAGATAAAGCTATCAAAGGAAGATCATTCAGCAGGCACACTCTGTATTGTTTCCAATCAGGTTTTCATTCTTATCAGCAGCACACAAACCCTGGTGTCTCTTACTCTACCATGCAGCAGTGTAAGAAGCTAGAGGTGTGAGGTTAAAATGGGTTTGAAGAACAGGACACCAGTGTATTTTGTCCTAGATCAGTAACTGGCCTTGTGATCTCTGACCAATCACTTTACTTCATTAGGTGTCAGACTGTTCCCCCCAACCGTCCCCAAAGAAAGAGCTCTTTATAATGGTCAAGTTGAAAGCATACGCTGCCAGAAGTAGTGTCTTGGTTATTGAGCTAAAAGGGGGCACAGGGTCAGGACTGAGTAAGGCTTAGGACAATGTTAATGTTTGTATCTGTGACTACTCATGGCTGTTAATACCTCCCATAACTTGCACCTAATTCACCCTAGAATTTCTGTGTGTGTATTTTCTAAACATGGTCGATCCTTGCTATCTTTGGATTTTGTATTTGCAAATTTGCCTACTCGCTAAAATTTATTTGTAACCCCCAAAATCAGTACTCTCAGCATTTTTGTGGTCATTTGTTGACATGCACAGAGTGGTACAAAACCTGAGCCTCCCAAAGTGCATGTTCCCAGCTGGGGTCACCCAAGGCCACCCTCTGCCTTCTTGTTTCAGCTCTCCTACTGTCAACAAGTGTCCTTTTCATGGTCTATTTAGTGCCACATTTTTTGCATTTTTGTTGGTGATTTCACTATTTCAATTGGCCCCCAAGCATAGGGCTGAAGTGCTATCTAGGGTTCCCAAGCATAAGAAGGCTGTAAAGTGTCTTACAGAGAAAATACACGTGTTAGGTAAGCTTCGTTTGGGCATGAATTATAGTGCTGTTGGCATGAGTTCAAAATTAAATAAGGTGTCTTTAAATGGAAACAAACATAAAACAAGGGTGTGTATTGATCAGATGACAAAAATGTTATGACCAGAGGCTCACAGGAACCTAATCCTGTTTTTCCCCTGAGAGCAATGGTTCAGTACTGGATAATTCAGTGTTCACGGTGACTTTATAGGACATGATTACTATGAATAATGAGAGTCGACTGCATTTGTTTTGGGGGGCTATAAAAGAAAAAAAACCCCCACCATTAAAACAGGACTATTTTAATACAATAATCTCTTTTTAGCAGACTCATAGGTCTTCAACATTTCAGGATTCTGGGCTTCAAAAGAAGTTTTCTTTTAAGGAAGAAAAGTCTATATTTTTTCATTTCTTAAACATTTGTTATGTGATAATTCATTTTAATACCATAATTTTACCCAGGAAATATCTGAATCTTTTATATTATGTTTGTTTTATATTTATATTTAACAGGTAATACTAAGTAACCTTTAAGCCAAATGTTTTTGAAAAAGAAAAAGTTTATAAATGAAGATTTCTTCATTACATATAAAATGTATTATACATGCATATACATACATGTTCTATTAAGAAACATTATAAATGTAACCCAAATGAGATATAAAGATATATTCATATGAATTGTCAATTTCAGGAAACTATGTTGAATTTTTAAAGGATAAAAGAATCCTCTTTTGTTTAAAAACCATAATCACAACTTAAAGGCAAAAATAGTACTCAATATATGTATCCTATAGCAATGTGTTCCTGCTGAGAGCCCAGAAAATAGGTAGATTGAATTCAATTTCTGGATTCCAGAATCAGATGGGAAGTTAGGCAAGATCATCTTTCAAGTCCTGTTATATCTTGATATTTTATGATGCATTATTTAACTCTTCAAGTGCGCATGTCTCGTCTCTCTAACTATTAGCATTCAGAATCCATGGGTTTAGCATAAAGAGGGTTTTTCAGCCTCGGCACTATCGACATATTAAGCTAGATAATTCTTCATTGTGGGGGGCCCACCCAGGAGATGACAGTAGGACACACATACCCACACCCAGTTGTGACAACCAAGAATGTCTCCAGTGACAAATGTCGCTTGAGGGGGTGGTGCAACAGAAGCCCAAGTTGAGGACACTGACATAAAGGAAATAGTTGATTGACGCTATTTTAATATACTGCCAAATTTTCACAGACTTTTTGTCAGACTATTGTAAAAGTAAGTAGAAAGAGTGCTTCTTTTTCCAATGTGTCAGTAAAACATAAAGAATATATATTCACATTATTATCGAGACACGAAAACGTAAAAAATATGTATTTCTCCATGATAAGCAAGAAGTGCCAACATACAGAATTCTAAATAGGGAAGTAAACATACATGGACATAGGAGAGACAGTCTACTGAAATTTCTCATAATATAGTTCTAAACATGAAACATAACTGGAAAAGGACAACATCACATTAATTTATAGTTACAGTTCATAAAAACATATGTTGTGTTTCCACTTAAAGAAGCTTTTTTTTGGGCCGGCCCGGTGGCTTAACGGTCAAGTGCGCGCACTCCGCTGCTGGTGGCCCGGGTTTGGATCCCAGGCGCGCACCGACGCACCGCTTCTCCGGCCATTCTGAGGCCGCGTCCCACATACAGCAACTAGAAGGATGTGCAGCTATGACATACAACTATCTACTGGGGCTTTGGGGGGAAAAGTAAATAAATAAAATTTAAAAAAAAGAGATAATGTTAAAAAAAAAAAAAAGCTTTTTTTTTTTTTTTTGTGAGGAAGATCAGCCCTGTGCTGACATCTGCCAATCCTCCTCTTTTTCGCCAAGGAAGACCGGCCCTGGGCTAAAATCTGTGCCCATCTTCCTCCACTTTATATGGGATGCCCCCACAGCATGGCTCGCCAAGCAGTGCGTCGATGTGCACCTGGGATCCGAACCTGAGAACCCCGGGCCGCCACAGCGGAGACGAGCACACCGAACCACTTGCGCCACCGGGCCGGCCCCTAAAGAAGCATTTTTAATGAGAAGATGGCAACCAAGTGTGCTCCATTTCCTCTGCAGGCAAGGCCTGAGACTTAAACTGAAAGCAGAGAAGGACTTAACCGTGGACACGTGAAGCATTTCCTAAAGGTAGGAAAGCCTGTCAGTATCCTTATGCCCGCAACAGTGGCTCACCCGCACAGCCTGCCTGGGGTAGCCTTGCAGACCCGAAAAGTAAGATAAACACAGGAAGAGCAAAGAATACCCTCCTCTGACCTCTCTCCGCTTTCTAGTTCTTTTGGTGGAATAAGCAAACCCAAAACTTTCTTTCCACTAAAGATTCAACGCATTCTATGGTGTTGCTTGGTTCAACAAGAATCCTTCCCCTCAATGTTTACAACCAAAATGGACTTCAAGTTTCAACTGCAAAGAAGTAGGGCTGTCATAGAGCAGGTTTCCATGGCGACCATCTCCTGCCAGTCCTAACTAGTTCCAAGGTTATGGCATCCAGGCCCATCCCCTCACTGTGCAAAGATACTGTCCCCATGTAATGTTGAATAAATTGATTTCTCATCTATTTCAAGAGAGAGCAAACATTCTTATTCTGTATTTTTGTCTAGCAGTCAGGTTTTATCTGGTCAGTCAGTTTTATATATGTTCACTTTGCTTTGATAAAGCTTGTTATATTCAAATAGATTCATTTTTTAAAAAGTGTATTGGGGCATATAATTTGCTTTGCAAAAGATTTTTTGCTTTGCAAAAGAATTTGCCATAACATTCCCTTAAATAGCAAGTTTCCCTGGCATATTTAAATATGACTAACATACTAGGTTTCAGAAACACATGTATTGAGTAAAATGAGCCTTACCTGTGTATATTTCAGGCATGAATTTTTGCCGTTTCTTTTCATTTGGGGCATGTGTATTTTATGGGCACACTTGTTGGGAGAATATGAGGAACATATTCTCTAGACTTAGGAACAGTCTCTGGCAGTAAGAGAGCAGAGTGGCATTATAAAAACAATCCAATCTGGGACCAGGTGGGACCATCTTCCCCAGTGACTTGTGTACCAGTGAGTGGCAGATTAGATGACACATCCTTTCAGGTGACATTCAGTGAATTAAATATTCTGCTAATAAAGGGCACACTTGTGGCCTAAAAAGGTAATATGACTTCTAAAGATTATTCACATCAGAAGAATCTGGCTTCATTTCAATATCGTGAAGTACTATTTTCAATAAGTAAAATTCCTCTAATACTTTCTTACTCATAAGTAAAAGAAACTGAGATGAGTCATCAAAAAGAACACAATAACAGTTTGAAGGTTTAACTAGTTAAAACCATCATATGTCCCCTCATAAGTAGATTTGAGATTAGTCAAATAATTCAATCAGTTGAAATATTTTTAAAAATTAGGTAAAATGAATTACATAGACCTTTCTACAGAGAATGGATATTGGGTTGTGAGAGTGGCCTCAGCCACGTAACATAATTCTCATGGCGAAGAGTGAACGTGTGACCGGGCTGCCTTACCTCCTATGGAGATGATGGCATCGAAGCCCTGATCCCTAAAGGGGAGATTAAGGTTGTCACATACCATGACTTCACATCCTCTACTCCGGGCAATCTCTACCAATGGCCCACAGTAGTCACAGCCCAGGGTGTGTACCTGGCTGTTCACTTTAAGATACTTCCCAGTCCCACAACCTATAAGAGAAAAACCTGTGTTACATGCTATCCTTAAGGGAAAGTGGAAAATTGTCAGTTTGTCTCATAACAAGGAATAGAAATGACTTTATATTAACTAACCAGACAGACTACAACATAGTATGAAGGTATTCACTAAAGCAAAAGAAAAGCCTTCAGAGAACTCTTACATATTTTCATTTAGAATAGAAGAGGGCAAGGGAATGAGGAAAAAGAAATAATATTTATTGAATCTTTAATGAGGTAATGTCCGTAGGGCTTAGGACGCTAGCACAACCAAAAAGTTAGGTGGCCCGTGACAGGGAATGATGGTTCCCTAGTATCCCAGGGACAGTGTCCAGTCTCCTTACAAAAGTTACCTTCACATACATATTTCATCATATACAGGTCTATAGGCTATGGGCTTTTATTCTTGTGTTCTCTCTCCAAACAGTCTTACCACTTGCTAGCTATGTAAAACAAACTCCTGCCAACAACTTTTCAGTGGATATAAATAAAATAATTTGTACAATAAAACATGCTTTTCCAAAAGTTGTAATTTGAATTTGGATGAAAAAAGGATTTCAACATCTTTTTATCCAATCTATTGTCAGTGCTAGGTTTTAAATGGTTTCTATTGACTCAGTATACAACTCTGACAAAGAACTATTTTTTTTCTTAAATAGACCATTTTTGACTTACTTTCTGGTGGCAGAGACCCAAATAATTCAAGATTTACACAACCTAAAGATATGGATCCATCAAATCTCACTGATATTACGAAGAAGAAGGTGGTAATGTGAATGAATAACCATCTTCAGACAAAGCCTGCTATGACCTAGTACCTAGTATTATATTCTAGCACAGACATGCCATCTAATTCCTTTTCCAGAAATATTTAAAGATATCATTAGAGCTGATATTCGTACCTAATGGCATTAGCTCTGGATTTTTCTACGTGGAAAAATATCTACCCTGGGGCCGGCCCGGTGGCGCAAGCGGTTGGGTGCGCGCGCTCTGATGCGGCGGCCTGGGGTTCGCCGGTTCGGATCCCAGGTGCGCACCGACGAACCACTTGGCAAGCCATACTGTGGTGGCGTCCTATATAAAGTGGAGGAAGATGGGCACGGATGTTAGCCCAGGGCCAGTCTTCCTCAGCAAAAAGAGGAGGATTGGCGGATGTTAGCTCAGGGCTGATCTTCCTCACACACACAAAAAATATCTACCCCTATTCAAAGATGAGTAGTTTGCTGCCTCTGAAACACATAACAACACTCTCTAATAATTCCTCCTTAATGGGTGCTATTCAAAATTATATGAGACACTAAAAGCATAATTAAGGTTCATTGATGCCAGCTGAGACAGTGGAGAGCATGTCAATAAAAAAATAAGGTTTCCAGTGTTATTATTCCAATGTAAATGTCTGGGGTCTTAGATTTTAGATCTCATAGCCACTGTTCCTAAGAATGCTTATGAGAAAAAGTATCCAATATTTAAGGGCAATCATGGGGAAAATATAATTCACCAAGTATTTTAAAATTGAAATCATGAATATTTCAAAGATGATGGCCATATTTTAAGAAAAATAATCTTGAAAATTTGTTTGCTTTTTCTTTTATTGGCTCAGGGGATACATTTAGAGAATTGAAAGGGAAAATTACTTCAAAGATACTAATGAAAACAGGTTCATAGACCATTAGAGCTACAGGGAAGTGTTCAGAGAGCATCTGGTAATGAGGAAACTGAGATCTGTTCAAATGTCAGCATCTCCTGAAATGTTTCCAGTGCCCCTGGCACCCTTGATTTAGCCCATATTTCCTAATGGCATTCATTTTTAAGGGGACCCCCCAAATATGATGGAATTATCCATTTTTTAAGTGCATACACTGAGATGCTAGAGAGGGGAAGATTTTATCCTAATAAGAAAATCAAGAATATTGCCAAACCTAATCACCCATTATCTTAAATGTGCAAGAAGTAAATGAGAACATTTCTGATACTGTGGCAAGCTCCAGAACACAACAGTCATCAATCACGCTCCTTTACAAAATCTCATTAAATGAGAACCTTTCCTAGTACTGAAGAGAGACAACAGGAAGTGTCTGCATGATTACATTCCCCTCTGTTTTGTATTCTGCACCACATTATAACTAAAGAAGAAAACAGATAATTGCCTGAATTCAAAAAAAATGTTTTGGCCCATAGTGGGCAAGTATTTGCTGGAAGTAACTAAATGAATCTAAGTAACTAAATTAAATCTTCCCTTTAAAGTTTGCAGAAATAACTACATTTTTTAAAATAAGAGCTTTTTGCTAAAACCTTATCTAAAAGAGAATTCTCTTTTCCTATGGGAAAAAGAAGAATATAGCCTATTTATTGCCCATTTGATGTACATTTCTGGAGGCCAGAGATGAGGGAATATGTTTTATTCTGCAGGCATAGTACCTTCCACACAGTAGGAGCTCTAAATTTTTATTGACTCAATGAAGGAATGGTAATTGGAGAATGACTTAGCAAATTAAATATGACCACAGAGATTGGGAATAAATCCATTGACAATTAAGAGGCAAAGGGAATTTGAATTATTGAAAAGTTAATTTTTATTATGTACACAAAAATTTCAACACTATCGGGACAGTTGGCTCTGATGTCACGTAAAAAGGTGACCTTGCTCAAAAAGACTCTAGCTCTGGTGTTTCTCCTGCTTTCTAAACTAATCTAAGTGAAGATCTCAAACCACAAAATACCATCCATCCACCATCTAATGGTCTTAAGTTACTAGCCCATTTCAGGTAATAGTATTGCCATAATTGCACAGGTCCAGTATTTCCTCAGAGTACTTTGCATTTCTGCTGTCTTTGAATCACTGAAGTTCTTTTCATTTAGGCTCTGGTTCCTGCTCACTTAATTCCTGATACCTGCCCTGAAGACTTAGTTTCCATCAGGAGCCATTATCAACACACCTCAGCCAATTGGCTTGATTGGGAAATGGGGTGAGGTGGTTAGTCAAATTTTAGTCAACTAAAAGTTGCACCACTAAAATAGCGAACCAGCCTAGAGAATTCCTGTATGCGCACTGGAACCTGATTACCTCTGGATGTTTATTACCTATGAAAAGTTTTATTACTAATTAATTATAAATTGCTAATCTAATAACCAGTCATTTGCCAATATAAACAGTTGATAATTTTAGCTAAGTGGAAAACTTAGAAAAAATTTTTTCTTTTGGAGATAGTCATATTATCCTACCTTCTCTTCTTCTACTAATCCCTTTGGGGTTCTTTCTTTCTTTTTCATCTATTTCTTCTTTAATTTCAATTTTATTTTAACATATCATAAACACATCTTTCATTGTGTAATCAAAATATTACTATTCATTTTTTGAATAGTAAAAAAGTAAACAGTACAAAATTCAAAAGATACATGTGGGTAAAAAAATATTTACTACAGATATAATTATTGATTCACACAGAGGTATTTAAAGAATATTATTGGTATTATAATTTGTAGGAGCAAAATAAACATATATCTTTTAATATGGTGCTAATAGCATCAAATGCTATGCAGCTTTTGATACTAGGCAGCTCTGTAAATACAGACATGGAATGATCTCCACAATATATTAAAAGAAACAAAAGCTAGGTGTATAATTGTTTGTATAACATACTATCATTTGTGGAATCGAAAAAGGGAAATCCACCCATACTCACACCCATAAGCACAAATATGCTTATATTAACATGAAATATCTCAAGAAGATTATACAAGCAGCTAAGAGCATTGGTTGCCTCTGGTGTGGGTTAGTTGGTCCTGGGGGACTGGAATGGGATGATATTTTTCACTGTGCATCCTTTCATAACTTTGTTACTGAACTATTTAAGTATATTATCAAAAAAAATTTTTGGTTTTTTTTGTGAGAAAGATCAGTCCTGAGCTAACATCCATGCTAATCCTCCTCTTTTTGCTGAGGAAGACCGGCTCTGAGCTAACATCTATTGCCAATCCTCCTCCTTTTTTCCCCGCAAAGCCACAGTAGATAGTTCTATGTCATAGTTGTACATCCTCCTAGTTGCTGTATGTGGGACGCAGCCTCAGCGTGGCCGGAGAAGCGGTGCATCGGTGCGCGCCCGGGATCTGAACCCGGGCAGCCAGTAGCGGAGCACGCGCACTTAACCACTAAGCCACAGGGCCGGCCCCACTATCAAAAAAATTTTTAAGCAATTTGTATCCCCTCCCTTTTTGAACTACTTGTTCATATCATTTTACTATTTTTCTTTTGGATTGTTAGTCTTTTTCATACTGACTTTGAAGAAGGCTCTGTAGATTGAGAAAATTATCTATTTTTCTATCAGATATGTTACAATATTTTTACTTAATTTTTGTTTTTTTGACTTCGTTTATATATTTGTCTAGATTTTTGCCTTGTCAAACTTTTTAAATTTTATGTGGTCAAAGATATCAATACAGTCGATCCTCATTACTCATGGATTCCGTATTCGCATGTTCACCTAGCTGCTAAAATCTATATGTAACCCCAGAGTCAATACTGCTGCACTTGCATAGACATTCACTGACGTGCGCACTCAACATGCGCTCTCGTAGAGCAGCGAAGAATCTGAGTCGCCCACGGCACCTGTTACCCACCTTCTTGATTCAGCTCTCATGCTGTCAACAAGTGTCCTTTATGTGGTCTATTTAATGCTACGATTTTTGCATTTTTGTTGGTGATTTCGCTGTTTAAAATGGCCCCCAGGCACAGTGCTGAAGTGCTGTCTAGGGTTCCTAAGATCAAGAAGGTTGTGATGGGCCTTGTGGTCAAAATATATGTTGAATAAACATTGTTCAGGCATGAGTTATAGTGTGGTGCCCATGAGTTCAACGTTAATGAATCAACAATATAAAGTAAATAAGGTGTCTTTAAACAGAAACACACAGGAAACAAGGTTAGGTATTAATCAGTTGACAAAAATGTTGTGGCCAGAGGCTCACAGGGACCTAATCCTCTTTTTCCCCTGGGGCAATAACTCAGTATTCACTAATTCAGTGTTCATGACAACTTTATAGAACATAAGCGCTGTGAATAATGACAATCAACTGTATTTTCTTTTATGATTTCTGACTTTTTTTGGTGTCATACATAGGGAGGTCTTTTGCCTCTGAGAAGCTTTTTTAAAATAATCTAGTTGTCATCTAGTCCTTTGATGACTTCATTTTCTTATACTTAAATCTCTGCTTCATTTGGAATTTTTGGTGTAAGGTATAAGAAAGTAGCAAATATATATACTGTTGTCCCAAAGCCATTTATTGAATAGTTCCTTTTCCTCCCAATTGATTTTAAGATCCTGGTACTTTGCTTACATTATGGGTAGTAAGAGTTCCAAATTCACTGAATCTTCTGAAAACATTTTAAAAAAATTGACATGATAGAGACATTTTTCAAAGACTCTCCATTTCTACATGACTGCACCCCTTCCCCAAATTCCACACTGCTCGCACCATGTTTAACAAGCCAAAAGCCCTAGGCACATGTCTGTTTCTCTTCCCAGTGTTTAGAGTGCATGTCAAATTAGACGGAATTTGTAGCTACAGACTTATGACTCTTACGGGGCACAGTCTGCATGCAGTTGCTAGACAGCAGTTTTAGGTGGACATGCCTCAAGTGGGAATCCTACTATGTCTTAAACCTTAGTCTTAGATCTACTGGGCTGTGGTTTACCACTTCTAGATTCAGAAAGATTCTGAGCCAAAGTCCTCCAGGCAAATCAGTAATTATGAAGATATGATCTAATTAAATGTATGTTCTAATAATAAAACACCTGCAGAATAGTTAAGGAAAAGGATCCATGAGATTAATAAGAGGTTATAAGACCTCTTCTATAATCCCCAATTCTGGCTCTTCTGTGGTAGGCATGAGAGCAACCAAAACACTGTATTTACAAATGTGAATGTGTCTAAATTTAAAAAGGTCAATTTTACAAGCAGTCATTTCACTCCTGATTTATTCAATCAATGTCAGGTCAATTTTGTGGGAGGATGTACACAAAGGCTCTGAAAAGATCACCGCTGTCTACATGTAGACTTGAGGAAGTCTTCTACTTTCTGACTTGATAGTATGAATTTCTGCTCTAAAGTGAATAGTCTAGGTACTGGCATGCCAAGGACACAATTTCAGGCTTCTGGTTAGAACAGGAATGAAAAATGAATCAGAAAAAGAAAGGCCCTATGGAATACACGTCAGACCATGTGGCACAACCCTGGGTTACCTATGTCAGCGATGAGGCTGCCTGGCTTCTGCTCCTGGAGGAACTGGCGGACTCGAGGCCAGGCTTTGCTCTGCAGGTCACTGAAGTAAGGGGCGGTGCTCTCATATACATCGTGCACGTGCTGCTTCTCCAGCCGGGCGGCTTCATGATCCATCCTGGGAAAACAGGGCCACCCTGAGAAATGTGGGTCAGAGTATGCACTGGAGACGGCGAAAGGAGGAGGCAGATTTCCTAAAATTGGGAACTACAACTGCCAGGAGTTGTGCTGTTTTCACACTTTCTTATAAGCTGCAAAGAACAAAACCTGCACTGTAATCTCACCGTAGTTGTCAAAAGACTAGCAAATGCATAGTTTTTACCTGCAAATCTTCAGAGAATAATAGTTTGGGAATGAGCTAGTCATTGTAAGTTTGTGTGCAAGATCAATTCTTAATTTTGGAAGCATATACAAAAGTCTTACCAATGGTTCACTTTGGATAAAATCGTTCTGATGCTAAATCGATTTTAAAATTTTATAACACATAGCTCACCACTCCAATCCAATCACAAACCCTTATTGATTCTAACTTTCTAATGTCTTTGGATTCCAACCATTTCTCTACATCCCTACTGATTCCGTTTTAGAAAAGGTGCTCATTCCTTGCCTGAATTACTTCAACAGCCTGTAAACAGATTTTTTTGGCCCTTTAGTCTCTTTTCCTTCAATTATGCCACAACTATTTTTCTAAAACATAAATCACATTTCGTTGATTCCTATCTTAGTCTTCTTCAAAGGCATTTTATAGCTTGTCCGATCAAGTTCAGGTGTCTTAGGACAGCATACAAGGCTCTTTGTGATCTTGTGGCCTTAACTGACCTCTTGAAGCCGTTTCTCAGCATCTTTCCCCAGCTTCAGCTGAGCCTGTAATACTCAATGATCCGTGGTTTCTCAGACATGACACATTCTCTCTCATCCAAGGGCACGGAGAGATGCTTGCTTTACCTGGCTACCTTCTATCTATTCTTGGCACAGACATCACTTCTTCCAGAAAGCCATCTCTGACTTTCCATGCAGGATAAGGACAGTCAGAAAGGAGTGGGAAAAGTACAAGAGCAGGTCTTAGAGGCCTCTGCTGCTTCAGGCTTAATCTTTTCATTATTCTCTCGTGGCATGTGAGTGAGGAGTATCCCAGGGAAGTGGCCCGGGGCTCTAATTGTGGCCTTTTACCAATCAATATGAAAGTATTTTCAATCATTTAAGAACCCATTTGGCCCTACTGGTGCATATCAGCTAGTTCAGTCTTGCCTCATGTATTCCTGTTGCATCCCATGCATCCCTCTACGGATCACAAAGGGCTGTAATCATCTATTAGATATTTTTCTCTAGTGCTGGCTGGAAGATTCTAGAGAACAAGGGCTTGTCTTATTTAATGCTGAATCCCCAGTAGTTAGCACACAGCAGACCCTCAATAAATGAACAAACAAACATAACCAGAATGGAATCTAACTCTGAGCACAGAGGGTGGCATTGGCTTTGGTAGAAGAGAAAGTAATCATGGGGAGTGTAGGAAGAGAGGGGATCCTATACCCACAAGCTTGCGATGGGAGCGTGCGAGAGAAGGTACTGTCCCTGGACAGCCTCCGTGTTCCTTCTCCCTGGCTACTCCCACCCTGGGAAGTAGGAAGCACTGGGTAAGATGGCGTCTGGTTAGTTACTCCACCATAAAGTGCCTCCTCCCCTCGCTTTGTATTTAAGAACCATCTTGATGAGAGATACTTTGAGACCTTGGAAATATCATGTTTCTCATACTCTCACCCACCAATTTTAGCACCCAATCCACTGATGACTCTTGGTCAAAACAGTTATTACTATAATTATCACCAAACAACGATATTCTAATTCTATCATTCCATACAAAGCCAGGAAGAGCTTTTCAGGATTTAAATTAGCAGTAGGTTATCCTTAATTACTATGGACCTGCCCACAGTCCCCCCAGAAGAATCTGGCAAACTCTTCACAGAGTACAAAGCTCATTTGTGAGGTCTGACAAACTTCCACCCAAATTGAAACAGCTTACATTGCACCCTCAACTAGAATTTACAAAGTAAACATATGGCTGGCTATAACTGCCTACACATGAGAAAAACCCAAACACTTCGTGCTTTTCTTTTTAATCAAAATCTCAGTAGACTTAAGTCTGTTTAAATTTTTTCCCCTCAAGGACTCAATCAGGCAATACAATTTCAAGAACCCTAGAGCAAATAAATTTTACTTTATTGCCCTTGCAAATGTTAAGTGGCAATCAACATACACTTGATTCCCTTCAATCTGGCTCCAAATTCTGCAAGCTCAGAATTTGTAGAATCTGAACAGCACTCCTAGGAGACCTTTCTCTAAGTCCTCTCCCAGATTGCCTGGCCTCTACCATAAACACGTCACTTCAAAGAGCTATTTTAAAGTGTGTGAACAATATAAATCCATTTTGTTTTTATTGTATTTTACAGTTACGATTATATACTGTGGTATAAAGAGCTGACCGTGAAATTGATCTGTAGAGTCACGGCTATCCAATACCACATTTTTGACACTCTGTGGATTTAAATTTCCTGTAGTATTTTCCATATGAATTTTATATATGTAAGCATATTCCTTGTGAATTCAGTAATGTGATTAAGCTAGTAAGATAAGTACTAAAATAAGAGCGCAGGGTTCAAGGTGAAGCGAGGGAGGTAGGGTTTGGTTTAGCCAGGCTTCCTAATCTGTGTGCTGTCTAATTCTAGGCCCTTGGAACTAATGCCCTGTTGTGAGTCATGAGAGAAGGGAAAATAATTTGAAAAGAAAGGAGAAGTCATGTAAAGTAATGCACCAAAAATTAGAAGAAATAATTTGGATTTTATTTTAAGTGCAATGGAAAGTGGTTTTAAGTTGGTGGGTGGGTGGGGGGACATGATTGGATTTACAATTTTAAAAGATCATTCTAGGAATATCTAAGTAGACTAGAATAGCTATTGTTTTTAGTTGTCCCAACTGAGTTCACCATCCACCTTCTTCTGATAATTTGTGTCTTGCCCTCCCTGGATGGGCATGGGAGGCAGGCCTGGCCGATCATGGTATCCCATATCTCTGAACACAATCATTGGTTCAGTGGTGGCCAGGAGATTTAAGGTAAGTCAGTCAGAGCGTTTCCTTGAGATACCTCAATGTGGAGCTAAGGAAGTGGTAGCCTTGCCTCTGGCATCACAGAGTTAGAAAGACGTAAAGGTCAGACTGCCAGTGGCCAATTTTTCCTACCACATGGAAAAGAACTGTTTTCAGGTAGAAGACAACGAAGTCAAGCAAAGCAAACAGAGATGAGAGACAAATGGAGAGGGAAAAAGAACCAAAGGATAGAGTCCTGGTTCCAGTTCCTGAGGCTGGTTCTTGCAGTTCTGTGGGCCATTCCTTATCCTCCCCAACTCAGAGAGTCAGTAAATTTCCCTTTTCACTTAGCTTGCTGGGTTTTGACCTTATCACCATAATAGTCCTTTCTAATTCAGCAGTACTTCTTACACTAAGTGTCTTGTTTTTTGTTTTGTTTTATATCCAACCTTTATTCCTTGGAGAATGGAAGAGAGGAGAGAAACTGATAGGAAACTAACAGGGGACGTCAGTGGGTGGTATGTTTCCCGTGTAGAGAGGAACAAACAGAAGCACATCAGCAATTCCTGCTTCTAGAAACAGAATTGTCATTCAGAAGCCATGAATGTTTGGTTTTCCCATTCTGGGTGTGTGATTAAGATGACACTTCTTTGCCCAACTTGATTCAGGCAAAGCAATGTGACCATGAAATGTGATCAGAAAAGATGTGGATTATTCTGGGCAGAAGCTTTCCGAGCCAGTGTGTGGCTCACCGAGTGTCTCTGGAGTCATGGAGGCATCAGTCTAGTCCCTGAGTGACTGTTCTTGATGGACAGACAGCATGGGTGTTTTAAGCCGAAAAAGAAACAGCTCATCATAAGAAATGTTGAATATCTAGGTAATGAAAAAGTAAAAACTATCAATCATGTTCTATTAGAAGATGACTTGTTACTATGTGAGTTTGTCCTTTTTTCTTTATAAATATTAATATTTTTCTCTTTCCTCTAGATATATTATCACAAAACTGGGAGAAAACTGAATACAGTTCTGTATTCCACATTTTAATCTTAATTTAATATTGCGAGCCAAGAAGCAACTTTTGCCTGTGGTCTTCAGTCTTCTCAAATAAGGACTCTTGTAGGAGCCCTCTGGCAATAGAACATACTGGAATGGCAGTGTCATATTGGAACCAATGCTAGCCTAAGAGAAGATCAGAGTTGTTGTAATAGTGCTGCCATCTTTGTCACCTCTCCATCTTTCTTTTTGTACTGCCACAACATAGTATCTGAACTGTTACTGTAACTTTCTAGCTGGTCTCTCTGTGTCCTTGGCTTTCTTCCCACTCCCCATATCTGCCACCTCAAATATATCCATAATGCTGGGAGTTTGCAACACTCCATCTCCATTAATATTCACTCTACACTCCTATAGGAAAAGGCGACTGTGGAGACCTCATAGTGTATGTGTCATTTCTGGCTCGATGGCTTAACTTGTAATTTTCCCTCCGTGAACCCAAGAAAAGCAGTTAAGAATCTCTACTTCATGCCAATGCTGGATAATTTTCCTATAATGTCCATTTGATAATATCTCCTCCCTGTTGAAAACCCTTCAAAGGACATCTACTCTCTACAGGATAAAGCTTGCACTCCTCAATCTGGCAATCAACCCCTCCATGACCTGCTCCCAGTCTACCTTTCCAGTCTTAGATCCTGTAACTACCATAACTGGAATTCTTGGCTTCACCCAAAGGACTCTACTCACTCTTCCCCGAGTGGGCCTTGTATATGGCTCCTCATTCAGGTCTTTGCTAAAGCCAGCAGCCTGTTCTCTTTCATCTGAAATGATCTACTATCACCTTCCCCTTCCAAAATCTTCCCTGGCCCTCAAAGTCTAGCTTCTTCCTCTTCCACAAAGACATCATGGTCAGCTCTAGATAAGAATAATCTCTCCCAGTATTTCTGTATACTGCGTATTTATTATCTCTATCACTCTTAGGGCATTTCTCCTGATACCGTCTTGAACTCTCTACTCTATATAAGTTCCCAACTAGATTAGAAGCTCCTGGAAGGCAGGAACTGAAATTTGACCTACCTTTATATATATCATAGTGCTTAGAATAGCAGTGAACACAGAGCAGTCACTCCATAATTAACTGTAGAACCAATGAATCAATGAGCTGTTTCCTCAGCTCTCTCTGCAAGACAACAATACTTTACTCCAGACAAACTGGTCCTCGAGTCTTGGGTCATAAATTGTAAATACCCTGTTGGGGCCATTAGGCTCTCAGAGGAAAGCAGGGCTGAGACCGAGCTTTTCCTGTTATGTTTTGTATTTCACGATTTCCTGCCCTAGCGGAGGCCTGTTTTAGGGATATACCTGAAGCATGCAATAGTCACATTTTTATAACTAAAATCAGATATAAATATTGTAAATTATTCTCCTATTATAAATACTTCAGAAGACAGAGTATTAAAAAAGAAAGCATGAAGCTCTGCTTTAAATATCTAATACATACTCAAACTGTAATTCTAGAGTGAGAATATAAGTTGCTCAGGACAGTTCAAAGACTTTATTATACTTACTTATAAAATTCATAGATTTTTTTTTACCTTTTAATACGTGATACTTCAAACTTAACATCTACGTACTATTTTCAAGTACAAATTATACTGCAAACTTTTATATGATAAAAACTGTCATTTAACAATTGCTCTTTAAGTCCTAGAGAAGCATTTTGCTCTCTAAAATGTACTAAATATAGTCTTGTAATTTTAACTTACCCTGCACAACTATTTTCAAACTCTTTTTTCCACCTGGTGCAAAAATAAACTCCAACTTACTTTATATTGCATTGTCATAAATTTAAAATTATAGGAATTGGGGCTAATTAGGTTTACTGAATATGCACAGTGCCCCCAAACCTCAAATTATTTCAATTTGCACTAATAGCTGAAAGGTACTAACCTGAGTCATCTTGTGAGCACAGGAAAATTACTTCTTGTCTTTGTGAATCACGGCTGTTTTCACCCCCCGAGAGTGACAGCTTCTTCTCACGACTCTCAATGTGTAATGTAAATGCAAAGTAGTAGGACTGAGATCAAACAGCGAGGTCTTTCACATGCTGAACCACTTTGTGTGAGTCGGTGAAGGGAATACAGGCCGTACTAGGAAAAAAACGAATAGTAAGTGTCATTTTGCACAATAAAGATATTGAACCAGCTAGGTTGACCTCTTGACCTACGCATAAATTACCCAGAGAAGAAGGCATTTGAAAGAACTGGTAATATGTGGAGTATGCCAGAACTGTAAGAGCAGTTTCTGAATTAATTCCTAAGCTTTCTGTAAAATATACAGTACTTTCTCCCCTAATTAAATTGAATGATTTTGGCTTGTTCCCGGAGGAATTACAAGCACTGAGAGTCAACTGTGAATCCAATGGCTTAATTAAATGTATACTAAGTATTTAAGACAATATTACTAAATTGTATTAAATCATTGCAGTACAATTTAACTGCTCAATGTTTGTTCATGTTGTCAGCTACTTCCACGTCACTTTGACAAGTGTTCCTAGTTATTCTTCATTGCTCACATTTATTTATTTTTATTTTTTCATAATAGTGTGGGTCTAAACCCATCAAAAGACTCTTAGTTGCTAAAAAAAAACCAACAGACTTTGTATGCCAAAAAGCACTTTGTAACATGGAGGTCTTGGGTTATAAAATGAGGTCTGGAGAGCTGCCTGGTGTGGTAGGAAAAGCCAGTCCTGTAACATCTCGGGCCTTTGGTTCCTTATCTGTAAATGAGGCAAGGGGACCTTAATCTAGACCACAGTTCTCGACCAGTCTCCCTAGTCTTCATATCCTTTGTGTGGACACCTCGCTGCCACACTCTGTACCTCTTACTACACACAGTGGTTCTCAGGATGGTGGGGTGGGATGCATGTGGCTTCCCCCGACTTCTCTCTGCTCCCCACCCCACCCCAACCTTGGTCCCTATTTAAGAATCACTGATCTAGGTGTGCTTTGGAAAGCTTCTCTCTGGTCTTCAGAATATGCATATACATTTTAACCCCAGTCTCTCAATCATAGGCAGGTATAGGATCTGCACCACTGAGAGCCACAAAGTTGACTTTTTAGGAAGAACATTTAAGAAGGGTCTTGAAAGAGCCTTTAGTCAAAGGATCTCATCTTTCCTCATGCAATTGTAGAGCCTGCCTTAATCATAAAGGAGATGATGTTTGTTTACTGAGTCCCCGTGCCAGTCCCAAAACTAAATGCTCTCCACTTGGACTCGCCCTTCCTTGCCCTGACCTAGGCGCTGCACTGTCACCAGCCAACTTGAACATCTGTGCACCTGTCCTTTAGGCATTTGTGCCTAAATGAATTAACCCACTTAGATACGCTACTGAAGACAAAGTCTTCAGTGCCTTAGTCAGTAATAGGAGCTAAGGAAAAGAATTTTGGATAGTGCAGAAGGCATATGTGAGCTACTTCAGTGGGGGCAGAGTGGGAAAGCTTTTCTATATGCCAAAATCATACCCCTAAACACCGGTTCATATAATTGGCTTTCCTTAAGTTTTCTAAATTATGATCCAAATTTACCTCTGTCAAAAATGTATGAGTCATATTATCTTCTCCAAGAAGTTGCTGGGCAAAGACAAAATACGGTAGTATCTATCTATAAAAAAGTTGAATTCAGATGAGTCCTTTTACTATATCGGCCAAATAGCTCTGGAGTATTTAGTTTTAAAAAAACATGCATTTCTTCTTTTCTCCTGGAATGAACGGGAAACCATCTTCTAGGGCAAAGGTTTGTAACTCAAACCTGAAATTTTGAGGTTAGCCATGTGTATGTATTTTCCTGGGAAGGGGGTCGGCACTTCAAATTATGGCTCAGAGGCAAAGTCAGTCTTGGGGAACAAGTAATTTCTGTATTAAATTAAAAATACACATTCATTCATTCAACAAATATTAATTAAGCCTCTTGTACATGTAAGGCACTAGGGATAGAGAAAAAACAGTCCCCCCATTCAGGAACCCAGAATTTAATAAGGGAAACGTAGAAAGAAATAGAAAATTCAAATATGGTGGAAGCTGCACTTTTGGGATGGATACATCCTGAGAGCTTCTGAGTCTCCAAACTTATGCTGTGCCTTATTTAATCCTAATATTAATCATATGTGTGTGTGTGTGTGTGTGTGTGTGGTATATATTAACCCTATTATAAATTACTAAACGTCATGGACCTTTAGGTCATTCACAGGTATTCAAAACCACAAATGCCAAGGGCCCACATCTGGTGTGATGAATATTATGATCCAGGTGTGCACAGGTGCTGTGGGAGCACACAGGAGAGTAACCTCATCCAGCCTGGAGTAGGGAGGGGCAGTGAAGGCTCTCTTGAGAAGCTGACATCCAAGCTGGAGCTCGGAAGACAATAGGGGAAGTCAGGTAAAGGAGGAGTGGGTGATTCCAGGCATAGGAAACAGCAAATGCTAAAAAGAAAAAAAGAGACTGACTACAATCTTTTTGACTTTGATACAATCTCTTCAAGTAGTCATGCACCAAACAGTGACATTCTGGTCGACAACAGACCACATATACAAGGGTGGTCCTATAAGATTAGTACCATATAGCCTACGTGTGTAGTAGGTTTGTGTGAGTACACTCTATGATGTTCTCACAACGCTGGTATCTCCTAACGATGCATTTCTCAGAACATATCTCCGTTGTTAAGCGACTCATGACTGTAAATTAATAACAACAACAATAGCAAGACACACACACAAACATATATTAATTATTTACTCTTGTCCAGGCCGTTATAAGCATTCAACATATATTAACTCATTGAATCTACCCAATAACTATATGAAAAAGAACTACTGTGTCCCCCATTTTACTCTGACAGATAAAACTGAGGCTCAGAGAACATAAGTGACTTTCCAAAGTTACATAGCTAGTAAGTGGCAGGGCCAGGATTTGAACCCAGAAAGTTAGATCCCAGAGTTCACACTCTTAATTACACAGTTGGTGGAGAGGGAGGGAGCAAGGGAGGACAGGTGGGTGCTGTAACAGCCTGGAAGAAAAGGTAGGAGTCAGACCACACAGGGCCTACTTTAGCATTCTAAGGAGTTGGGATTTTATCCTGAACGTAATGGGGAACCACTGAATTATTTCAACGGGAAAAATGACAAAATTTGATCTAGATTTTAAAAATCTCCTCTGGCAATAGTGTAGACTAGTATTGCCTGGCCAGGTTCACAGTGAAGACAGAGAAAGAACCTGGTTAAATACTTTAGACAAAGCATGATTAAGGATGTAAGGGCAAATACAAGAGATATTAAGGAGGAAGGATCAAACTAATAGGACCTGATGACTGATGAAGAGGTAAGGCAAAGAACACACTAAGAGGATGGAAGCAGTGATAATAATAAGGCTGATATAGTAAGATGTACCACCGCCATCTTAAAATACAGTGGAAGAGAGAATGGAAGGCAAATAAAAGGAAACTTTGGACTATAGAAACTCTGATAAACCCTTGTGGAATGCATGTGACTATATCAAAGCAAGTTACTTAAGATTTATGCATCTGCAGGAAATAGGATATAAGAAGGACTAGATGTGCGTAACTGACTTTGAAATGCCACAGTGATCAGTAATACGTGATATTTTATAATGACATGGGCTGTTTGTATATATTCCTTACTTTCTGTAATTGATTGCAGCATTTTCCAGAGAGAGACAATGTATCTTATGATCTCTGGGTGTTTGCTTGGTATTGTAGTTGACACAGTGCTCACCAAATGCCTGCTGTATAAATATGTGAAGAAAGAAACAGAAGAATAAAAAGAGGGCCCTTCAGATGGTGCCACGGCTCACCATCAGAGGGAGGGTTCGGGCTTGGATACATTGTTTCTGCGGTATCTGAAGGACAACAAAGTAAGATGGATATGAAGCCCAGGACTAGAGATGAGTTAAAAATCATGATTGTCTTAGGACTTGGCAGTTAGGGCCGTGGGAATGGATAAAATCAAAAGAGATTGTGCAGAGTAAGGAAAAGAATGAGGTTGGAGAGTGGAGGATCACCCATATTTAACCCCCATACATGTTCGTGCTAGAGGAGAGGTTAGCCATGTGCTGCCAATAGAGCTCTACCATAATTAAGTCTAATTCAGGAAATACTGACTGAGCATCTACCAGGCAACAGTTGCTTTGGCAGCTACGAGAAGAGCAAAAGATGGGCAGTCCCCACTCTCAAGAAGCTATAGGCTAATACAAGAGTAACACAGAATAATAGCCGAATGACAACAGTAGGTAGTAAACATATGATTTATTGATAATGTTAAAATCAAAAACAAATGGAGACCAGCCTTGAAAGTTCCCTGAGAAGACAGAACTAGTTTAGTCATATAAACAAAGTTTAATTTAGCTTATTTTGCAAGAATAACGACCTGCGTCATTTCTTGTTTGTGCCTCTAGAAATCATAAGCAAAACTTCAGCTGTTTCCTGGGGTTAATATGAGGTAACCACTGAAGATTCTAATATTATAATGAACCACTGTGGAGAATAGAGTCACTGCCTTCTCACTATATAAGCTGCTTTATAATAATATAGCCCTGAGCCTCATCCCATCTTTTGGTTTGAGTGCCCCTGGTTTGCAAGCTGTTTTTTTGGTGTGTGCACAATAATTTTTTACTAATTACTGCTTCAGTGATTCATTGGTTTTACACTGGCTATATCTGAACCTTTGACAATAAAAAAGCATAGATAGCAAGCAATATTAGCTTTTATAATTTGGAGTGACATTTTATTACTCCCTCTAAAGAGGCAAGTGAAGCAGTGTGCTGTTCTCATTAATATTCCCCACTCCACACAGAACTCCTTAATCATACACCAGAGAGATTATAGTAGAAACGGTAGGAAAAGAACAACTGGCATTTCTGATTGAAATCCTATGAAGAGAACAAACTCAGGGCTTCAAAACAACAAAATATGTAGTGCTGGGAAATGACCCTCTCTGTAATCCCAAGGACCAACAGGTTACCCCGGAGTAAGTAGATGTTAAAAGAAAGTGGACAAAATGAGCAGAGTTAATCATTCCCAAAGAACACTGTGTTTTTCTTGAAAATTTCATTTAGGAGTAGATATTATC